TCACATTGTATGAGCATATTTGTTTTGACTTCCGTACTACTACCAGATATGTGCGACTTGATTAGCTTTCATAAAATTTAATAATTTTTTTAATATTCGTTATTTTCGCGGGTTTAATCTGCACGAATACGAAAAAAAAAAAAAAAAGAAAAAAGAAAAAAGAAAAAAGAGAGATGAATAAAATAATTATTTCTGATTGTAATGCCTATTCACCAATCATTCAATTGCTAAAAAGTTTGGTTTTATTATGATACATCGTTTACATTGACAAATATTCTGTTTAAATACACATGAAGAAAAATAAAAGGACAATCAAGTAATTTTTTTAATTGATTATTGAATTATTTTATTAATTAATTTGATTAGTATACTTAAAATCGTTGTTTTTAATAGGATAATTCATTTGATGCGTTCTCCGCAAAAATGAAATTCCTTATAGCCAATCTCAGACAATCAGACGACAACATATCAGCAGTTAAGGAACCAAATAGATCAAGATTTCAACTTTTGATTTTTGTGAAGATTTACAAAGACGATTTAATTCCGCATTCTTCGCAGAGGACAATCATACCATTTACAATCTATTATTAATGATTTCCCTCTACAGAACCTGGGCGATCATGGCTCTCCACGGCTTCTTGTCTTTTTGTTGCTCTCAGTAATATTTTCTCCTTTACGAATCTCTATTGTATTATGCTACTTGTTCATCTACCCATTTGCTCAAACTTGGTCAGTAACTTGTCTCTTACTCCTTCCATATGTCGTAGGTGATGATGGCTCTCCACATCTTCCTGTCTTTTGTTGCTCTCAGCAATAATTTCTTCTTTACGACTCTTCTGTGTCTTATGGTACATGCTCCTCTATCAATTTGCACAAAATTGTCATGTAAGATATTTAATATTTTCCTCTTGCTTTCGAAATGCCTTGAGCACGTTAAATTCTCAAAACCGTCTTTCCTCATTATATGACCAACCATTTCAGTTGTTTCTCTTTGATTTCTTTGTCAATCGTTATCTACTGTCTTCCTGATTATTCGTCTTCTGTTTGTACTCCTTCTTAATGTTTTCTGTTTTTTTTTATTCTTTCACACTCAGTGGCCCCTAGTGTCTTAATTGTTTTAATGTCTTGCATAGGGTGAAATGATTATATATATATAAATATTGTCATCTCTACTGGTTAAATCGGAGAAATTTTCATAAATATATATATATATATATATATATATATATATATATATATATATATATAGCTATTGTTGCTGATCATTGCATTAAAAGCAATGAGACTAATATTTAAGGGTTGAAATATCCAAGGTAAGCAGTGAATGTGTTAAAATGTTTAAGACAACGATCAATGAAATGATTAATGAGGATCTTTCACTTATCAATTCTGAGGACTGTTGCACAAGTCAATGACACCCGCTCCTGAAGAGTAAGGACAATGGAAGAAAAGAGGAAGAAGCCATACAAATAGATTATTGTGTTAGACGTTGGCACAAAATATATTGTCATGTTGCTTAGCAACGGCGTTCTGTTGGCCCCCTCCTCCTCCCTTTCTAGCATAAGATTTTAGTTCCGGTTTTCATACTTACATATTTCTTCGTTGATGACAAGTACATACACGCTTTCTTTACATATTCGATCTATCTATCGAAGCATATTAAGGCAGTTCAATGCTTATACCACAAAGCTATCGCAGATTTTTACAAAACGCTTTGGGAAGTTTTCTTCTTTCTTTTTTTGGTGTGATACCCTATTTTTATGATAAAAGTGTCACAATGAACATTGCTTACGTAGCCATGGGGAGACAACTTCACAAGTTAGAGCTTTCAGACTTTCCTGACAGTAAAAACGCAATCTAATGTTCAATAAATTGGGAATAACTTCTATTATAAATGATTCTATACAAAATAGATAGACAAAAAGACAGACTGAAATTTTTCGTTTCTAAAATCGGTATAAAATCCTTTGTTAAATTATATTTTACTTATTTTCTGGTATCTGGTGAAAGTTAAGATATAAATTTTCCAATATCTGAGTACTTTTGGCTTTCATAAACCATTATCAAAAGGTTTATGATTTTTTATGCTATATCAGTTTCATCGTCTTTTAAATATCGCGTCTTCGCGTGTTATATTGTTTTTTCAATCTATTATGTCTTTACGTGACAGTTCATATTGTCGCGTTGTTTTTTTTTTAATTTGTGAAGTATATTTCGCATGTATTTCTCCTAAACCTGATAATATTTAACTGATGTCCAATTGCTAGTTTTTATGCTTAATAATTTTTGTAATTGTTGTTGTTTTTACAGTTTATGTTATATATTGTTTTGTGTCTCTGGTAAAGATTTGTCAGATTTGTTCCATTACTTAGTGTTGAAACTTGACTAATGCAAAATGTATTGAAACAAGAAAGTGTACACAATATTTACATATAGTCTTTTGTATATTCCTGGTAAGGCCGTTCCTGGAGAATGTGTTGACTGAGTCGCAGTCGGGCAGAGTCTCTGGTTGAATCTCTTGATTCCTCACTCTCTTCCCGCTACCAACCATATTTATATGGTCGGTACTCCACTATGCAAATTAGGTGGATCCTACCACAACACTTAGTGATATGCAATTTAATTGAAGAATTATCGTATAAGTGACTTTTTAATCGACGCGATAATGTATTTGGAACGAGTGTATGCGATATTTGAATAGATAAATAGATAGAAAGAAAGAAATGAAGGGGTGAAAAGAAAGAAAGCCAAAAAGCTTACTCTCAAAAATAAACTGAGATTGTTGCATGTTCTCATCTTGTCCGTTCTTCTGTATGCATGCGAGTCATGGAGTCTAAGAGCAGGAATCAAAATGTGGGTCCTAGCTGTAGAGATGAGATACTTCAGACGCCTGCTTGGTATTTCCTACACCCAATGAAGAGGTACGCTGAAGAGGTACGCAGAAGAGTGAATCATCAGATGGTTATGAAGACGTGTTTACCATCATAAAGAAGAAAACACTGCAGTGATATGTCCGCATAAACAGACCGCGAATCCTCTCCAAGACCATTCTAAAAGCTACGGTACAAAGCGGAAGGAGAAAGGGACGCAAAAGAAAGAGATAGTAGGACAACGTCGTCGAATCGGCCAGTAAAAGTTTTACATAGACCCAAACACTGGCCAATGACTGGATCAAGCGATTGTTTCTTGTTGAGCAATCTTCAGGCCTGAAGATTGCGTTCATGCATGAAACAGACTGTCTTTTATATTTACATGCGCTCTATCTCGGGATTTGAGCACTCATTTTTATCCATAAATACAGTATACCGTGAAACTATTATCAGCAGAAAAATGTAAGAATGGTGGAAAAACTAAATAAGAAAATTATTTAAACGAAGCATGTTCATAAGAAAGTTTGCTCCTCAAAGCCGTGGCTTACCGCTGTTTCTTCTACAAGTATTTTCACGGCAAATGTTCCGACGAGCTACTTTCGGTGGTTCTCGGACGACATGAATTGAAGCGAGGCTACCAGACTGGCATATCGGTCTCACTCTTTCACTGTCAAAACGGTTAAATGTAACCGTCTCTTCTACTCAAAGAGCTTCTTCTCTCATACTTCCAGTCCGTGGAACTCCTTTCCTCTTACTTGCTTCCCCGATGAGTATAGAAATATTCAAGCGCAATGTCAATCGACATCTGACACCCTGAGCTTGTTCCCCGTCTTTCTCTGTATCCTTTCACCAAACATGCCTCTTTACTCTTGTTCTCAATCCTCTGTAATCCCTTGCGTGCTAGTCGCACTCCTGCCTTGCTTGAGGTGAATTGCCTATATATATATATATATATATATATATATATATATATATATATATATATATATATATATATATATATATATATAGTTAGTTTATGAAAAACTAGGTAATCCGTATGGGTAAACCCAAGGAGTATGATATCCGGAGAGCTCAATGTAAATTCAGAGCAAATACGTTTGAATAAAAACAAACCACTTTAAGGTTCCATGTAATAAATTATTTCACCACAGCCCTTTTAAAGGGCTCTGGATCATCAGACTTTACTTCTAAACCTTTGGCTGTGGTGAAATAATTTATTACATGGAACCTTAACGTGATCTGTTTTTTATTCAAACAAATATATATATATATATATATATATATATATATATATATATATATATATGCGTTTGTGTCTGTGTACAAAATAAATGACACGGACAAAGTAAATACGAGAGACAATGGCTTAATGATCAGTATATCAGTCAAATGTAAGAAACCGAAATCTCTTAATGTTTGTTTCCAGGAAAACGACACTTATCTTTTGCTACGGATAAGGATTTACGACATGTGTGTCTATCATTTCATACTCATCAAAGATTTGCAGCTTTGTTTCCATTTTAATGTGATTCTTTACTGTGTAAGCGACGCGAGGATGGATTTGTTTTTTTACAGTTAAAACTGTTCATTTGAACTCTTATCATAGTCTAGTGATTATCGGCATTTACTGAGTGTTCCGTTAATCTAACCGCATGTATTAGGATGGTGTTATAAATACGCAGTCTTAAAAAATTAGTCACCCTTTGATATTTACCCAACTAAAATCAATATAAGGCCACAAATATAGGGCGTCCAGTGTTTATCCAACTCATTACACTAAGAATAATCTAAAAAAAAATTTATTAACTCAACAGCAAAGCAAATTAATTTAGCTTATAAGGCCACATGTCAGAGGAACCTATTCACAATCGAGCTCAGTTTTAGTAAGACAGGAGAGTAATTAACTATTTAATTACCAGCAGTCTGCACGCAAATATGAATTAGTTACTAGATATCGTACTGCACAGTATATATATATATATATATATATATATATATATATATATATATATATATATGTATATATATATATATATATATATATATATATATATATATATATATATATATATATATATATTTATGGCTACTTTTGGAAAAGTTACATTCCACAATCGTGAAACAGGCTTACGGCCATATCACGTTGAAACACAGATTCCCGTATGATCACCGAAGTTAAGCAATGTGGCGCCTGATCAATATCTAGGCGAGTAACCGCTCGGAAATATCAGATGCTGTAAGCTTGGATGTGCGGGTGGTGTAATGGATAATGGATCGTTTCAGTTCCAGTTGGGTTCGTTATATTCACTTACGCGCAAAATACCCTTGGAAGGGGTATGAATCCACCTCTCCCCACCCCCGCTATTGGTTAATTAGCAAGACTTGCATCATTAAAACCATTATTAACTTTCTCCACCCCAACCCGCAAAAATAATAAATAAAATTGCATAAAAATATTTAGGTTTCGGCATTAAATGACTCATAGAGATGTTGATATGCCGCTAAACAATAACAAGCAACTAAAGTGAAACGCTGCTTTGTATCATAGACGTATAGGCAATACCTACCAACCAGAGTTCAGCAGAAGATTTTCCTGTTTCTCCTACTCTTTTCCTGTTTTTTATTAACGATCTGCCAAAGAACATTCTCAGATCACTAGTAAATATCTATACAGATTTTACGAAGATATTTCCCAAAATCAAAATGACCGAAGCCTTTCACCTGATCTATCCTCTGATCTAACCTTAAGAGCTGAATAAAGAAATAACCGGTTTGTTACTTTCAGTTCTTCAAAAACCAAGCTAATATCGTTTCATCGCCACTGTTCAAATCTTGAGTTTTCTTAACTCTCGTTGTATTCTTAATGGGGCTTCATACTTTGAACGTCTACTGTGTCTCAAGTTCATTCAAGAGTGACGCAAATCAGAAAGGAAATAGCGACATTTTTATTACTGAAGATAAAAATCCCCTTTCTTATTTCTTTAATGATGCCTAACATGTGGAGGAAAGGTTATGTCTTTTTGAATTCAATGATGGAAATTATTTCGTGTTTATGTCAGAACATGAAACAAAAGAGCTGAGCTTTCCTCTTTTCTGTACACCGACTGGTCAAAGGTTGTAATACCTGGTATCGTGGTGATAGCAACTTTGATAATCTTTCCCGTTGTTCTAACACTGGAAGCGTTACGCCACTGTTTTCACAGACGCAGGTGAAGGATAGGAGTTGAGTAAGTCTGTAACCCTTTTGACTTTTTCGCTATTCAAACTCCGTCTGGTTCAGTCGTGTCACGTCGCTACATACACGAACAAATAAACATCGTGTAATGCCCTTAAACATATCAGTAGCAGCTCTTAAAGATAATATCAGCAGTAATTCTCAAATATAAAAACACGTGAACCCCTCTCTTCTTGCGGGGTTTTTCCTCTTTTTCAACGTGTGATATGAACTTTCCACACTGAAGCTAAAAGGGCTGTCAACGCCTCACACTAAAACACACCAACACAGTTACAATTTACTTCTAACAAAAGAAACCACTGTTTTAAACCTTCCATTTGTTAATTTTGTTTTAATAAATGTTTTCTTTGCACTGCAAATCAATTGGTCTGTTATTTTGTGCTCGCAATCTTTACACCACCATTATTTCATGCACTGTAAAATGTTCCCGTAAGAAACGTTACACATTTAAATATTGAAGTAGCTAGTCACTAAAATTGCATCTCGGAAAATGGTTGACTTTTATAATGATTTGGCGGAACAAGATTATCTGAAAATGGTATTTTATCATTTCAACAATTTTTATGAATGTTCTACTGTTCTAATCAACCAGTGTGGTTCCTTAAGTATCGTACTGCCTCATTAATTCCTTGGAAATCATGTGGTAGACACCTATTATATAGTCGAAATATATTATATGATAAAAATATATTATATGGCAGAAACCTATTATATGGTAGAATGATATGATAGAAACATATTTTAGGATAGAAACATATATAGTAAAAGTATAGATAGAACCGTATCTAAAATAAACTTTATGACTTTAGTTTTGAATTTTGATGATTTCCACAATTATCGACCATATTTTTCACAAATCAAAATCGATTAGTATATGTGAACAGGATTTAATCTTCGTTTTACTCATAGAACTCGAATTAATTATTAGGTTCCTATCTTGAGGCTCCTTATTCTTATTTAGAAACAATTTTCATTAATTTCCTTAATTAATTTTTAATTTTATTCGCTGTTTTTTCATCACAAAGTTACTTGCCCTTACTTATTCTGAAGTTGCCGTTATTATTAATAAAAAATGGAATTATGCTCCTATTATATTTACTTTTTGTTTCTTATTTTAATTCCCCAATATTGTAGGATCTGATCAGAGCTGTCTATTCTTGTCACATATTGTATCAACTTTGGTTTGTTTTCCATTTTCAGAAGTTCAGGTTATGCATTCTGCGACTTTTCAGTTTCCCAAAAGCTAAAATCGCCGTTGAAAAGCAAATAGGCGAACTCATGAGATTAAAGCAAATAGATAAACACGTGAGATTAAAGTGAATTCATTGACATAACTGGTAGCAGTCCGAAACAGAATTTTGCAGGTAATTTTGAAAAATTAAAGACATACTGCGATAATTGGGGCATGATAATGGCTATATTAGCAGTTTCCCTATAAGGAAACATTCAGTAGGTAATGCTATTTTCAGTAGAAAATTATAAAATCTTTCTATTAAAACAGTAAAAATTGTTTTCTTTAGTCCAGTAACCGTTATCGCGCTTTCAAATGTTCAAATATTAATGGCGGCTTTTTTCCTAACCTTTTGTTTGTAATGTGGAATGTCAACCTCTTGATTATGTCATTTTTTTCTCTTCGAGTTACATCCATTTTAATTGTTGCTGCTGTTGAAGGTACTCAAGAGATGTGGTTTCTGTTATTTGGTATAGTTCTTTGTTTCCGATTATGCAGCGCCAGTCCACTAGGTTCGAAGAAGGAAGATCTTCGATAAGATTTACAGTCTTCATTCGTTCGAAGCCATTTTTTAACTATTGATCTTAAAAGCTGTTGTATACAGCTGACAGTTTAAATATTTTTGAACGGGTTTGGTGTCATGCATGACATTCATATGAAAATATCGACCTGACGAGGATATTTAAGAAAATGATTCGAGTTCTTAGTTTTTGGTTTTATAGCAACTTGTTGGGCGAACACTACCCTAAGCACAGCCTATTCTATGTTCAGTTTATATATCTCCTATACTAAATTTGCTTTAACTGATCCATTCACTGAGTTATAGAATATTTTGACGCGGAATAAGGCACTATTGCTGTAGGTAGGCTAATTTTTCGTTAATATTCAATGACTGGATAATAATTAGACAGATTTCTTAAACAATTTAGACATATTTTCAGCATTAATATAAAGTATATATTGAAGGGAAACTTCTAAAAAGTTTCTGATCTGTTAAATAGAAGCGAAATGTTAAAAACAAAATTTAGTAAAAACCCTTTAGACAAAAACTACCAGAAACGCTTAATTTTGCTGTTCATATTTTAAATTTAATAACATTGCAATTCATTCTTGTTTAATGAAGACTGTAGAGCTGATGTTTCCTGCCGTAGAGTATTTCAAGATTTGGTTGTTATCGGTTTATAAACAAATAACCATCTCTGTATTGACAATTCATGTAAATTGTGGCTTTCTATCAAGTTTTCAGTTATTGAACTGTTGGTAAATTTTTACGCAAACACTTGACCGCGTCATCGCTTGTTATGAAATTTCAGTGATACACAATCTTCGCTAGAATATTGTGTGGATTAAATGGAATCATAAACAAATACCGTTTTTGTTTATCAAATCGATTCTTCAAAACAAAGTATAATTACGTTTTATTTAATTACATTTTATTTAATTAAATATTCATCTTTATTTGCAATCACTTTTTGCCACTTATCAAGTAGCTTTTCGATACATTTCGAGAAAAACTTCGCAGGTTTTTACCTGAAAATGTTTACAACGAATTCTTGAATCTGGTTTTATGTTAGAGAGAATTTTTTTCCAGTAAAACGTTTTGCAGCGATAAAAAAATGTGATAATCAGTTGATACAAGATCAGGTGAATATAACAGGTGGAGTAGAACAAACCAAACCAAGCATAAAATTTTATCCTGAGTTCGTCTTGTTGCACGAGGCTTTGTGCTGTTATGAAGGAGAACAGCATGTTTCCTTTAATCCACTGTGTACGCTGCCATTGCTGTTTGATATGCTGCTTTTGAAATGGACCTCCAATTCAGTGGTTAACTGGGGTAGGAAATGGCTTGTATATTTTAATGCCCTCAAAACTAAATTTCTCTCATTTAAGCACCATAAAGAAACATCCTTGCCTGTCATCAGTAGCTGCTGCTCGACCCCTGGAGAGCGTCTCATTGCGCCTTCTTGGCCCTACATTGAATCAATAGATGTATCTACTGCAAGGAAAGTTGGTTCATTGTGGAAGGTTTTTCTCTTGCACATTTAAAAGTCTACCATTCGTCTGTGTATTGAATACTGTTGCCATATCTGGTCTACTGCCCCCGGTGTTCATTTCAAGGTTCTTGACAAAATCCAATGAAGGATCTGCAATGTAATCAATCCTGACTTGGCATCTCGACTTCACTCACTTCGTCACAGACGTCATTTGGCGTCTTTTCTTTTCACTGTTTTTTCTACAAATATTTTTCATGGCACCTGCTCTGACGCGCTTTTTCCCCTTGTGCCCCGACTACATGAATTTAAACGCGCTGCTAGATTGGCATCTAGGTCCTACCCTTTTTCAGTTGAAATAGTTAAATGCAACATCCAACAGTTTCTTTTTTACTCCAATAGTTTCTTTTCTTGCACTTCCCGACACTGGAACTCTTTTCCGTTTAACCACAATAACGACAATCTTCAAAAATTTAAATGCAATGTCAACCGCCATCTTCTATTGACTTGAACCCTGTTCATCTATTATTCTTTCCTCAATTACCTCTGTGCACAGTCTTTTTTCTCATTTTCACTCTCTGTAACCCCCTGCGTACTAGTGGAAATCCCGCCTTGCTTGGGGTGAAATGATTAATCTATCTATCTATCTATCTATCTATCTATCTATCTATCTATAGTATCAAATGATCTCAAATATAGATGTAAAATCATTAATATATTTAATGGACTCTCCCGTCGGTTTCGACGTATGAGGATCTGACAACTTAATTGATTCAGTTATGAA